AAGATTGGGCCCATCGCTAAAAATCTGCTATTTATCAATTTAATCTAGATGAACGCGTCATTGGGACGGTACTAATGGATATTTTTGGTCGCTATTGAAAATTTAGTCGATTGCTGAATTTATGTATGGGCCCAAATTAGGGGCATTTAGGCCGACATTACATCCATTTCCCCTATAACGTTGATTTTGAACCACAGTCTTCTTTATGACATAGACGTTATTGACATAGACGTTATTGACATAGACGTTATTGACATAGACGTTATTTACATCCGTTTGATTTTGGTACGGTGCCAAAATCGAACTCTGTTGCAAAATCGAACAGGTACTGTATCTGTAGCATCACAATACATACTTAGCTGAGTAGTTAATTTCCTTTGCTAACCTTGAAAACCTGAATACTCAATAAAGTCACTCTATGCTGTTTAGTCAATGCTTGTCTACGTATCTTTGATCTAAAATTTCTAGTCCAAGCAACCAAAAAAATCCGTCCAAGCAAGACCATTAGCCGAAATTCTTAGTGAGTTGATTCGCTGAGCTATTCAGGCCGTTAAGAACACAATAAGGAACAAGAACTACGAGTACAGTGAACTCTCTCCAACTCGGCATTAAAGGGATGATCAAGTTACAGAATTATTGAGTAATAGAATTACAATCTCATTCAAAATCGCTATCACATTAGCCACGAAATTCATGTTTGCTATGGTTATATAACTCGACATCCAGTTAGTGGACATCAAATTGTGAAGAATTGACTGGGACACAGCTGGATCGAAGGATAAATTTTGTCAGACGCGATTAGGTGTAAGATCTATTAATTTTAAATTTTGCAAAAACTTACAACGTTCAGCGTCTACGGAGATGGATTTTTATCAAACCGCAGGGACTCAGTTCAACTCAAGAATGTGCCAACACCCAGTGGGAGCAGAATTTAGATTACAGCCAAATCCTCTAAATATCATTTTATTCGAGTAATTTTTGCTCAGCGTGCAAAAATGCAACATCAAGCATTAAGCAACCACAAGTTCGCAACTCTGTTTGAAATTTGAAATGAACAACCATCCTCAAACTACACCGAGTAATTAGGTTGTTTGAAACTAGCAAAGCCAGTTATACTTATTAATAACAGGGTAGTCAGTGACTATTCATTTTGAAATTCACGGTTTTTTTTTTCCCGGTTCAAATCTTAAACATTTCCCGGTTGTTGATATTCAACAAAAAACGAAATTGTACGCATTTTTTAAAACGTTGCCAACTGTAAATTTTCAGTGAATATTTGTGAGGAAAATAAAAACCAAATTACAGAAAGTGTTAGAAGTGTTGAGTGCTATAGGAAAAATTCAACTCTATGAGTCACTTAATGTATTCAAAACAATTTATTGATCTTTCGACATACTTTGAAAATCGAATCCTACCACTTTTTATGCTCGATACATCTTATGATTTCAAAGCAGGTTATAAGACAGAATTGTGAAGAATAAGAGATTTAATTAAAAAAATGATTCAGAAAAATGAACCTGATACAAATGAGATTTAGAGAACATTGATAGTGATATCGGATAAAGAAAATGTGTATTCACTCCATTGTCTATACAAAACATAAACATTAACCTTTCAGTACTCGGCTGATGTACAAAGTTAAGCACGAAAAAATATATGTGAAACCTACTGACGTTTGAGTTCACTCAACATAAAAAAACTATACATGGTTCATGAAATTTAATACCCACGACCAATAGACCAATACTTGAAAAAAAAAATACTGAAAGAATATTTACTAAAAAGATAGATTCCCAAGATTCTGGGGCTTTGAAATTTGTGTTAGAACTTTTCTTCGAAATTTGGGATTAATAACAACCTTCGTGATGCAAGATTTGGAGAAAAAATAGTTAAAATGTGAGAGTTTAAAATTTTTCCAAGATCACAGATTTGAAGATGAAAAATAACATATTTATTAAATAGTCTTGCAGTCATAATTGTCAAGGCTCTGAAGCATTTTAAGGGTTATAACAAATTACAGAACAATCGATAGAACCTTGCGGGCAAACCCTGGAATTTGCAGTAAAATTTAAAAGTATTCAAAGTGTTGATTTCAAACAACTATTGAGGAGGATTCCCACATAGTTTTCGAAAGAGAATTTCTGAGCAGAATTCCAGAACTATTCTGACATGAAGTTCTTAGAAATTGTTAGAAGTTCTAAATTAAATTATTAGGTACTGTTTGAAAATTCCAAAGGAGAATTCAACAAGACATAGAGTTCTAAGAGTGTACTGGCGATAATTTCAACCCTAGTGTGATAGATGTAGCAGAGCTCCAACAAAATTTATTGCAAAAAATTGCTAATAACTAGAAATAAACTCTTTAAAATACTCCAAGGGGCTTCTAAATTGTAATTCCGAATTTCGAAAGATTTATGCTGTTTTGAATAGAGTTAAAAGAATATTTTGAAAAGGATTTCAATGAAATCAAAGTCTCCGAATAGGTTTAAGGGACAATTTCTTAGAAGGGGTTTCAAGGAAAATCCAAAAAGAATTCAACGGTAATTATTACGCAGAGTGTTTTCTGGTTAATTTAAGAATAATTCTATAATAATTGAGAGCAAAATTCCAAGTTCATTCTGAAATTCATATCATAAGAATTTTGAATAAAAAAACCCCGGAAAAAAATAGTTCAGTTTCAGTTTTTACAAATATTTGTTTCTTAAGTTCAGCATCTTCAATATTTTGTTTTAAGGCCCATGCACTTTGCATCTGAAATTGATTCGCAAAAATCAATTTGAAATGTTGCTGAGTGTGTGAAAAGAACATTTTTTGAATTGCTAGGTGATTCTGAGTAGAATTTTATGGGAATCGAGAATTCTGAGATTTATAAACAGAATTTGAATTTCAAATCAAATGGAGAAGAGTTTGTAAGTCTAAAAAAGGAAAATTTGTACTGAAATTTTGAAAATATTTGCAAAGGAATTGAAGGGAAGATTCCGAGGACATAAGTGTGAAAAGAGTTCCCATGGTATTTATTGCGAGATGAAGAAGAATCTTCGGGAGAATCCCATGACTATGCCGAGAAAAATTCTAAGATAATTATGGCAAAACAAAAACTGTTTGTTGCTTTTGAATAGGTTAATATTAAACCATATGGAAAAGTGACACATAGGGGAAATGTCTCTAATGTTGGCCTATGGATTTAAGATTGGGCCCACCGCAAAAAATCTGCTATTTATCAATTTTATCTAGATGAACACGTCATTAGGACGGTACTAATGGATAATTTTGGTCGCTATTGAAAATTTAGTCGATTTATGAATTTATGTATGGGCCCAAATTAGGGACAGTTAGGCCGAAGTTACATCCATTTCCTCTAAGTCGATAAAGTCGAAAGATCACGTCGCAATTGTCCTATTATTTAAATGGAAGTAAATCCCTGCACTTAAAGTTCTGCGTTTTAATGTGGTCTGTGTTAAGGATTATCCGGATCTTCCGAAAGGCCAGTTTGTGGTCATTTCATGGTCCACATTGAATAAAAAAAATATGGATAGTGGTTGTCCTGGGTCTGGAGTCTAGATTCTATCTGGACCAAGCTTCATAGACTATGGTAATTCTAGGGAAAATTCCACGATGATTCTGAGGAGGATTCAAGGTCGGAGATGAATTTCAATAGGGTTCTGATGTGTGATTGTAAGGTAATCACGAGAAGAACAAAATATTGCATTCTCGGGATAGTTTCAAAATAATGCTGGGCAAATGTCTAGGAAATCATGACGATTTCCAATGTAACTCCGAGAAGAATACCAATGAAACTGAATTTGCAGGTATAATTGCGAAGCAATTCTCAGAAGAAATTCAAGGGAACTACAAGGATTATTCTAAGAAGGATTTCTAGAGAATTCTGAGGAGCATTCCATGTGAATTTTAAAATAATTTGTAGCAGAGCTCCTAGACAATTTTGAGCAGAGCTTCAACATTTTTCTTGGGTACATTTCACTGGAATTCTAAGGAAAGTTCATGTGAATTTAAAATAGAATTATGGAAGAAAACTTTACAGGATTCTTGAGATAATCATAAAAAAAGAAAAGAATCTTAAATCAAAAATGCAGTTGCTTGATCTGTTAATAAGTTCATTGCCAATGATTATGATTAATGAATAGTTATTAAATAATGTGAAGCACATGATTAAGAATAGTGATTATTATCATTAACATTAATCTATAAAACATCATGAGTAGTATATATGGTTAATCATCACTCTTATTAATCAATTGTGCTTAATTTTATGATTAATCACTAACGCTTTAGGTAAAATTTGCTTCAGGTTTAAGATTTGAACAGTAAAATTCTCCATGGGATTCCGAAAAACATTTTCATTTGATTGATATTCGAACAATATTTTTATGTGGTCAGACAAGGATATTTCAATCGTTACTTGCTCAATTTTAATACTTTCAGATAAGCTGGCGTTACCTAGAGATATATCAAGAACCCTGACTCTGATTCTAAAAACCAATTGACTAACTGGTTTTAGTCGATTCCGCTCTCGTACTCCAGGATAGTTTTCGGTTTGATTTACCATGAGTAAATTTGATCCCAAAATTCCCTACTAATTGAGGTTCTTCTACATGGTGTTCTATCACCAATCACAAGCTTCTGCTTGTCTCATTTCACCGCAAATTAATCCCAAAATGCCACAACACACGTAACAATTCCGGTGCGATTCACCAAACCACTAAAACTTCAACATTAACCGTAGGTATACCTTTTTGGTTCTATTTTTCCCGGCCAGAAGACTCCTCTCCGGCCGAAAAACCCGGCAGTTTCTCGATGTCGCACACACAAACAATAAAACCGAAACGCTAAAAATGCACTTGCCTACATGCCGTCGTCGTCGGCTTCTTCCTCCCTCATAGAAATTTTATACAACACAAATTCCCAACCAACAAACGATGCACCGTCGCTTCGGCACACGAAAACCATAACCACGACTCAACTCGGTCGAACGCACGTACCTTTACATGAATACAATCAACACGACCACAAGTAGGTAGTGGCCCCGGATCGGTCCTCCTCTGCTTCTAGGTGGGCGCTCCTTTCCCGATGTGTGTCGGTATTATAAAATTTATCTTCAATGATTATTTTGTTTACTTCTTCTTCCTGCTACACGACGAGAGCTACTGTCGTGATTTCTGTTGTTATTGTTGATATTACTCGTTGTTGTTATTGTTCTTCTTCAGCGCGACGAACACGAACACACAAGACCACTTACACACAGATAAATCCAGCCAGAACACGTTTAGGATAGCGATGTTAAAAAAAAATCTATTAACTCTTTCGGCACGCAGAAACTCGCATCAAAGCGGAACGTCAAATCACGCACATTACAACAGTGACAGGCCTCAATCTATCGTTTTGTAAAAAACTGAGATGATTGTGTTATTGCTGATGCTGTGGTCTTCGTACAAACGTCAAACAACACCACTTCTTCTGCTCATTGCCTTCTTCCGAAACCCGAATGCGAATTGGATGGACGACAAACGAAAATACCGTAACACTGACACCTTTTTTCGATTGGAAAAAAAATTATGTTCAAGATGCGTTTCTGACATCCAATTTAATTTCTTTTCAATGAAAACTCACACACATTGGCCACTTTTCCGACTCCCAACGACACACGGCGCCACGGCGGTCTGATTTCTTCTCCAAGTTTCGGACGTCTTTCGTGTGTAGTCCCGAAAACAAAAAAAAAGAACACTGGCGACGAGGAAAATGATTTCGCTCTTTCCTTCTCCGAACTCTCACCTCACCACCACTTCCAGAACCGACGGTGGTGGCTATTGTCTGTCAATTTCCGCAACCGCAACAACCAATCTCGCGCGGGGGCACCGTTTTCCCAAAAATGACCCCAACGAAAGTGTGCCCGGAAGATTCCGAAGCGCGCAGTAAACACTTCAATTGACGGCGGAAAATAAAAAAAACTCCACTCGAAAAGGTCAAACTGCCTGGCCGCGCGACGACTACGACGGGGATCCGCTAATCAATCTCGTTCTTCATCTCTTTACTTATTTGCCTCTCTGTCTCACTTCCGCGCACACCGCACACAATACTTTTTTTGCCGTCCCGTTTCCACACACCGCTTTCGCCGTCGTCGTGCTCCACTCCGCGTAGTTAACTACTTTCAATATCCAAGAGAAGAACCTGACTTGCCTTGTCTTGGCAGGAAAACCAACAACCACAAAACGGTCAATCGAACAAACGAACGAACGAACGCACGAACGGGGGGACACATCCAATCCCGTCAGCTGATCCGAAGTGACTGAAACGATTCGCCGACGTTCGAGCCGAACGGATCCCGTTCCGCTTTGCTCTGGCTGGATTGGAATTTTTGCGCCGTTTCCGCCATCGCACACTGTTTACTGCACGGCGAAAGGGGACGTGTGAGTGCGTTCCTGAAACGACTTACACACACCTGTCAACAACGCACAGCAGGCATGGTGGGTGTGCGTGTGTTGGGAGTTTTGTTGAGAACGGACAAAGTGTCAAAAACGAGAAGAATCTGCGGGAAAGTAATCGCCTGATGATTCGATTTCAAGCAAGCAATTAGATTTGAGTGCGGTGCACAGAAACGACATCTTACGGGTTACCTTGGAAGCCATCAAGTGAAGAGAGACGAGAGAAACTGAGCGGGAAACTTTCTATCGAAACACGTGGTTGACGGTCGGTTTATTTCACGATTTGAAAATTAAAAAGCATTAAATTTTTACAAGACGTTTCTGATTCAACTGATGAAACAGTAATTATAATTAATTTCTTCACATGACCTCACCGCCACTTAATGATGGTAGGGGGCGGTGAGTGTTTTGATTGATTTATTTCCTTTATTCATGAGATTTTCAGCCGGGGTTCATCTCCGAAAGGGTGTAAGGAGGATCCTGCTAGGGTTCTCAAAAAATTCCGGCTTATGCGCCAGACGAAGAAGTCGTCTGCCGAGAATTGCAGATATGTGTGCCCAGCTAGCAGTTTTCTCAACCCAGCAGATTCCACCCACTAGAGTAACCCAACGACCAAAAACTATCAACGTCCCAAGTCATTTCATCTTTTCAATATTCCAAGTTTTGTTTCCGGTTCTATCTTGATTTCTAAAATTCATCATTAGATTTTCCCTGTCATTAATCATTGACATGGGTGAAAACACAGTCACCCCACTATCATCGTCATTTCAAAACAAATTGATTCGAGCACTCGAATTCACCTTTTGCCTAAGCACTAGGAGCAACCAACTCTAACGCTTCTATATGAAACGATCGTTTGACCGTTTCAAGGGTGTTGGGTGTTGTGAGTGTCTTTTTTTCTTTAATTAACCACTTCATTCGAGCAGATAAAACGACGTTTACTACCACTCGAACTTTGAAATGAAACATTATTTTGAGATTTTTTCTTCTAGAACCTCGAAAAAAGTAGCCAACATTTGTGCGTTTCACAAAAAAATAGAACTTAGTTGGTCCAGTTTTGTGAAATCGCTGGTAGAAAGTCACGCCAAAACTGCTTGACAAAGTGGTCAATTGGAGACATTATTTGTTATCAAACCCCTCTCAAATTCCCTGACAATGCAAACTTCCTGGATTTTGAAAATTTCACAAGTTCCTGTATCTTGACCGTATATATATAATATAGCCAATGGGAAGCGAGAAAATATGGTAGCCTGCCATTCGTCGTCTGGCTCAACGTGGTTATGTCAAGCGTCTCCGGTCTGATCTTCGAGGAAACCCGAGGTGTGCTGAAGGTGTTCCTAGAAAATATGCGTGATGCCGTCACCTACACTGAACACGCCAAGCGCAAAACCTTCACGGCCATGGATATCATCTACGCTCTGAAGCGACAGGGACGCTTTCGGAGGTTAAAACTTATCACCAATGTAACAAAACGGCCTTTTTCAGGGCCACCAAGTTCATTTCAGAAAAGAGTTAGAATAGAATTTATATAGAGTATCCCCTGCTTCCAAGTTTGGTTACAAGATTACAACTCTAGAGACCAGCGGCGCCCGTGGTGTAGTGGTAAGCGTCCCAGCAGGTCTGGGTTCAATCCCAGTCAACGCTGCCGGGATGTTCTGAGGCATAACATCTCTGATCACGCCTTCCTTCGGGGCTCCTGGTTCATGAGTTGATGGGTCGAGGTAGGGTCCAGGTGTGGGCATGCACAGTTGTACACACCAACTGCTAATTTGGTAATAAATTTTCACTCAGATGTTGAAATTTATTTTTCTTTAAAGTAATTGATAGATTAGGCTCATAGTTTACTACAGATATGCGAAGATTAGGTAAAGCTTAACATTTGAATCAACACTAATCAATTTAACACTTAAATTCCGAGATGTGTAGTGAGCATTTATCACCTCATTTTTACAACGCAAAAATAAATACAGTTTATTACTAGCATTAAAATCTACTTTATTTTACATATCTATAACAAGCTGACACTCTATTCTATCTACTGCTTCAAAAAGAACTATGTTCCGTCAACTGTGTGCAAAATTATAAGCAAATGAGCAGTTCGTGACCAAAACTGTGTATGCCAAGCATGGGTGTGGGTAGCATTGGTGTTCAGTACGGAAAACAAATCCAAGGAAAAAAAACAGCATTTAGTGTGGTCGTTGGGGGCGTGTTGTTCTGAATTGACAACAAAATGTTCCGCAATTGTATCCTCCCTATTCGTACACGCCCGAAGATCGTAGACGAATGTCACTTCGACTTGTTTCATCTAGGAACCATTCTCTGATGACTGTGTTGGGGAAGCAGCACATGCATGTACGTAATTGGTGGATTTGTTAGTTATTTAGAAGCTTTTGGACAATGCTTGACATTTACCACTTTTCAATAGTTTCAATTTGAAAATCAACAGTCAAGAGCATTGTTATCGATGCGTAGAAATGTTTCTGATAGATTGGTGATAAAATAATTGAAATTGGTCCTGGGGCAGCTAAGTTATTATCGTTCAAAATCTTTCATAATTTCATTTTACGTTTTTCATAAATTGTACCCCCTTCTTCCCGAAAGACGTAGTCCTACGTCAAAACATTGATAAAAGTAAAAGTTTGCATTGGTTCTTTTTTTTTTATAGAAAGCAGTTATCTTTCAAAATAAAAGTAATTCTACTATCAATTCAAAAGTTGCTCACTCCTAGGCCCACTCCCAACTTTAACAGCGTGCTTAAAAACAAACTTTTGGCATGAATGCACATAACATATGTGGAACTCGGTCATAAAAAATCGACCCCATTTCAGTGATTTCAAGTGGTATAGTAGGACATCGATCTGTCAAACTGATTATACCAGCTGTAAAATGAGAAAGGAGGTCAAGGGGGTAGTTAATTCTATTAATATAATGAGGTTTATAATTCTATGTCTTCTTAGCGCTCTTGAACTCATGTTTACGTTCTTTATTTTTTTAATTATATAAGTATCGTTCTTTATTTTTAATCATATAGTTTAATTTATAAATATAAATTATCGTTGGCATAAAACAGGTGACATTTTTTGAAAATATTTTAAACTATGACCTGCCACCTAAAAAACGTAATTTTAAGCTGCCATGGGTTAACTGTTAACAATTCAATTATGAAAGCGATGCGTATTGCTTTTCTGTAATTATTACCAAAAAATTTTTTTTTTCAATTTTCTTTCTCTATGATAATAAATGTATGTAGGGGAAATGTCTCTAATGTTGGCCTATGGATCTAAGATTAGGCCCATCGCTAAAAATCTGCTATTTATCAATTTTATCTAGATGAACACGTTATTGGGACGTTACTAATGGATATTTTACCATAGGAGTAAAGAGCTAGAAAGCCACCGTCAACGTCAATACTTACACGTTATTTCAAAACTACTCCAATTTGGGTAGAATTCTCCCAGATCGGTCACAACTGAACCTTCTCAAAAATGGGTAAACTATGTTACGAGTGACAAGCTGACACATGAGCAACATTGACATGGATTCGACCGACGTTGTTCAATTGTTAACCTCCCAACATAGTGTCACAAACGTAAACACTGACTTTTCCACGAATTTCTTGAGAATGAAAACTTGCTCTTTAAAATGTATTCATGTTTTGTCTGTTAAGAAATCAGCGATACGGTCTTTGGTGAACTCATATATATTCACCAGCCAACCTGAACCAGAAATTGATCGACGAGAAACTTGCTCACTCGCCCTTTCGGAGGTTCATCCACCAGTTCATTCGGAACAGGAAGCCTCTCCTTTAGTACAAAGTACTAGTGCAGCGTACAACGTTATTTTCATCAGCCAAGCTGAAGCGGAAAGTGGTAAATGTGAAGCTCGCCCACTCGCCCGGTCGGTGCTTCATCAACTGGTTGCTTCAGAAGAGGAAGCATCTTCTTCAGTTCAGCGTACCGTAGCAATTGACGATTTTTTTTCCATAGTGAAGTTATCACTGATGCGAGCACTCGGATTCTTGCTGAAGGTCTACCTCGACCGACACCGGTAACTTCAAATGAGTCAACTTCATCTCCAACTGAGACGCCTGTACTTCGCAGCAGTTGCAACCCATTACATGAGCTATTAAATCAATCCGAAGAGGGCAAAGACATGGGTGATAACCACAGCCCAGGTGGGCGAGTTGTGGGAAGCAAAACAACTCCAACCTTAAATATTCGTGTTTTTAATTTCAGGAGAATTACTACATAGTTAGAGAAGGTGTCAGAAAGAACCATGGAGGTAAAATTGCCATCAAAATCGGTAATCTAAAGAAGAAGAAACGCAAAGCCGATGCTTCGGAGGAACAACACACTATTGGTCTCAAACGTAGTGCACCAGCGGATGAAACAGTTCGTCATCATGACGAAAACAGCACCCAAGCTTACGAATGGCTCGTCCTGACTATAGAACTCTGGACAACCGTAACAGATAAATGGCCCTTGAGCTTATCCAAGCGCAAACCCTTCTTGTTAGCACATTTGGCCGTAGCTAAAGCCTTTACGTTCTTCCCTCACTACAAAAATCAATACGGTATCTCTCATGAACTGCAGAAATATTGGAGCCACTGGATTGTGCTGTTTCCGCTTCGTAAGCTTCCTCCCTTGTCGCTGATTGCAATATGAAATTCATCTGGTAACTGGAGATTAGACTGATGCAAAATTTGAAATTTTCGCTCCACAGTGCTCAAACGGTTCCAAACTGGACCCTGATTAGCCTCCTAAAATTTGAACTCATTTAGTGAGAAACTGACTTGGCACAAACCATTTGAAGTTTATATGGGAATTACTATGGAGAA